AGCTGTGATTGGTCACAGCTTGTCACATGGTACAAGGCTGTTGTGAATAGCCTTGTACCATGTAACCTCTGTGATCATTCACAGATTTCACAGGTAGTAAGCAATGATGTCACAAGTGACATCTTGCTTACTACTTTGCATGTGATCACTGACTGGCCAATCAGTGATCACATGATCGGGACCTCGTACAGAGGTCCCGTCCGACGATCGGCATTCCACTGTGTCCGGAGGACACAGCGGGCACCGGATCGCGGTGCTGCGCGCTCCCAGGGAGCGCGCACAACTAGAAAAGGCGGGTGCCGTTTATGAACGGTAACCCGCCCCTGGACTGCCACCGCCCTGCCGTTTATCAACAGCAGGCGGACGGCAAGTGGTAAATGTTCTCTCGGTCTCTAGAGCAATAGTGGTCCTATATTCTCATAAAGCATTCAACTCTATTGAATGGCCCTATGAGTTCTATGTTCTGGAGAAATTAGGCTTTGGGGACAATTATTTCTCACCTGGATCCATATTCTTTATGAGCAAAGAAGCGGAGCTGGTCTCCGCATTAATAGTAGAATATCTAAACCTTTTTCTATCCATCAAGGTACCAGGCAGGGCTGCCCACTTTCCCCTTTATTATTCACCATCGCTATAGAGCCGCTGGCATAGGTCCTTAGAACTTCCTTAGAATAACAGGGTATGCGCATTGGCTCTTTGGAAGAATGTGTCTCTCTTTACACAGATGATATGCTGCTCTATCTTTCTAACCTTCAGTCCACGATATCGTCCGTGTTGCAGTTTATTCAGGGTTTGGGGCCTTCTCTAAATTTAAAGTAATTAGTCTAAATTGCATGTGCTGTTTGTGGATCCAGATATTCCACTTCTGTTTACCACCGGATTGCCCTTAACAAATCAAAACCTTTAAATACCTGGGGATCATGGTGCAGTTGACATTGTCCACCTATGTCTTCAACAATCTCCTTCCTTGTATTGCCTCCTTTAAAACAAAAATTGCCACCTGGAAAACTTTACCCTTGACTTTAAGATGGTATTCTTACCAAAATTCTTAAATATTCTATCCAATAGTTCTATCTATATCCGCCAAATTTTTAAAGAAAATAGACTTCCTTCTTACCTCATTTTATGGTATCCTAAATCCATTAAGATATCTTTGGCTATGATCCACCTTCCAACTTATCAAGGTAGCATAGCATTACTGAATCTAAGACTGTATTATTACGCCTCTCAACTTTTGTATGTGCATTGGTGGCTCTTCTCTCAACTGAATGATGCAGCTACTGCTGATGAGGCATCCTTGGCATCCTAATTTGAAACACTTGCAACTTTAATTTATAGGAGATTTCTTCCAACTACAGATTGCATGATTTTCATACAAGTTTTACTGCAGACATACAGTATGGACAGGGTGTAACCCTTTAGCCTGACTCCTCTCATTCGGTTTCCCCTAATTATCTAATTTGGTTCAATCCTGCCCTTTCCCAATTTACTAGGTTACCAGCACACCGGTGGACCCAGAAAAACCTACAATATATCCACATACTATATACTAATGGCTCATTCAAATCCTTCCTCCAATCACTACTGGAATTACAGATACCCAACTCCTGGCACTTTAGATATCTTCAACTCAGGCCTGAAGCGGTGGCTCAGTTTGAGATTAGAGAGGTACGCTTTAGTAAATCGGTACTAGAAAAGGAGTTGTTATTCTCGGACCACTCTAAACTTATTGCCTCCTACTATAGTACGCTTATACGGGGTAACCCTACATGTACAATGCTTGTTTGAGACCGTGGATTCTACTACCAGAACAGAATTTTAGTGAACTCTTTTTTCAACTGGATAGAGGCATAAATTGCTCATTCTATTTGTTGATGAACAGAAAATGTATTTTTAAGATTAGCCCGTTGAGGCAGGGAGATTCAATTGTGATAATGTCGAAGCATTTGCACACAACAGATTTGAATGGACACACGGAGCAGCGGGTGCCCCCATAGCAAGCTGCTTGCTATAGGGGCACCCGACAAAAAGGAGGAGCCAGGAGAGCCTGCTCTGTGCAAAACCACTGCACACAGCAGGTACAGTGGGGCAAAAAAGTATTTAGTCAGCTACTAATTGTGCAAGTTCTCCAACTTAAAAAGATGAGAGAGGCCTGTAATTGGCATCATAGGTAGACCTCAACTATGAGAGACAAAATTAGAAAAAAAAATCCAGACAATCACATTGGCTGATTTGGAAAGAATTTATTTGCAAATTATGGTGGAAAATAAGTATTTGGTCCATATCAAAAGTTCATCTCCCCCCCCGCCCCCCACCCACACCCCCCCCCCACCCCCCCCCCCCCCCCCCCCCCCCCCCCCCCCCCCCCCCCCCCCCCCCCCCCCCCCCCCCCCCCCCCCCCCCCCCCCCCCCCCCCCCCCCCCCCCGCCCCCCGCTTCACTTTGTTATATATCCTTTGTTGGCAATGACAGAGGTCAAACGTTTCCTGTAAGTCTTCACAAGGTTGGCACACACTGTTGCTGGTATGTTGGCCCATTCCTCCATGCAGATCTCCTCTAGAGCAGTGATGTTTTGGGGCTGTCGCTGGGCAACATGGACTTTCAACTGCCTCCAAAGGTTTTCTATGGGGTTGAGAGCTGGAGACTGGCTAGGCCACTGCAGGACCTTGAACTGCTTCTTACAAAGCCACTCCTTCATTGCCCGGGCGATATGTTTGGGATCATTGTCATGTTGGAAGACCCAGCCACGTTTCATCTTCAATGCCCTTGCTGATGGAAGGAAGTTTGCACTCAAAATCTCACGATACATGGTCCCATTCATTCTGTCCTGTACATGGATCAGTCGTCCTGGTCCCTTTACGGAGAAACAGCCCCAAAGCATGATGTTGCCACCCCCATGCTTCACAATAGGTATGGTGTTCTTTGGACCCCAGCATTTGCAACTCAGCATTCTCTATGCTCCAAACACGATGAGTTGTGCTTCTACCAAACAGTTCTATTTTGGTTTCATCTGACCATATGACATTCTCCCAATCCTCTTCTGGATCATCCAAATGCTCTCTAGCAAACTTCAGACGGGCCCGGACATGTACTGGCTTAAGCAGGGGGACACGTCTGGCACTGCAGGATCTGAGTCCCTGGTGGCGTAGTGTGTTACTGATGGTAGCCTTTGTTACGTTGGTCCCAGCTCTCTGCAGGTCATTCACTAGGTCCCCCCGTGTGGTCCTGGGATTTTTGCTCACCGTTCTTGTGATCATTTTGACCCCACGGGGTGAGATCTTGCGTGGAGCCCCAGATCGAGGGAGATTATCAGTGGTCTTAATTATTGCTCCCACAGTTGATTTGTTCACACCAAGCTGCTTGCCTATTGCAGATTCAGTTTTCCCAGCCTGGTGCAGGTCTACAATTTTGTTTCTGGTGTCCTTCGACAGCTCTTCGGTCTTATAGTGGAGTTTGGAGTTTGACTGTTTGAGGTTGTGGACAGGTGTTTTTTATACTGATAACAAGTTCAAACAGGTGCCATTGATACAGGTAATGAGTGCAGGACAGAGGAGCCTCTTAAAGAAGAAGGTACAGGTCTGTGAGAGCCAGAAATCTTGCTTATTTGTAGGTAACCAAATACTTATTTTCCACCATAATTTGCAAATACATTCTTTCCAAATCAGCCAATGTGATTGTCTGGATTTATTTTCTCATTTTGTATCTCATAGTTGAGGTCTACCTATGATGTCAATTACAGGCCTCTCTCATCTTTTTAAGTGGGAGAACTTGCACAATTGGTGGCTGACTAAATACTTTTTTGCCCCACTGTAAGTAAAACATGTTTGTTGTTTTACAAAAAAAAAAAAAGCAACAAAAAAAAAAAAAAACAAAAAACAAAACAACGAGCTTTAACGATAGTGATCATATGAAGCCATTTTTTATCATATAGTTGTTTGGTCTTTTTTTAAATTGTGGTAACAGAAATCACCCAAAGGGCCCTGATCAAAAGTTTACATACCCAGGAATGTTTGTCCTTGGTAAAGCCACGCAAGGTGACACACGCGTGCGCTAAAATGGCAATTAAAGTGTAATTTCCCACATGTCTTGCTCTCCAGAGGATTTGCCCACCTTCCTGACCAGGCCATTTTTTTGCAATACGGTGCTGCAATACTTTAACTGACAATTGCGCGGTCATGCAACGCTGCACCCAAATGAAATTTATGTCCTTTTCCCCCCACAAATAGAGCTTTCTTTTTGGTGGTATTCGATCACCTGTGCGGGTTTAATTTTTTGCACTATAAACAAAAAAGACTGACAATTTAGTAAAAAAAAAAAAAAACACACCTCTATTTTTGACTATTAACCACTTGCCCTCTAGAGGATTTACCCCCCTTAATGACCAAGCCTCTTTTTGCTACTCGGCACTGCACTAATTCAACTGATAATTGCGCGGTCATGCAATGCTGTACCCAAACAAAATTGACGTCCTTTTTCACACAAATAGAGCTTTCTTTCTGTGGTGTTTGATCACCTGTGCGCTTTTTATTTTTGCACTATAAACAATAAAAGACAGAAAATTTTGAAGAAAAACAATATTTTTTACTTTCGGCTATAAAAAAAATATATAGTAAACTCAAAGTTAGTTGTACATTGAGGCCAAAATGTGTTCTGCTACATGTTTTTGGTAAAAAAAATCCCAATAAGTGTATATTGATTGCTGTTTGTAAAAGTTATAGCGTCTACAAACTATGGTATAGATACTGCAAATACGCCATTTTTTTGCTATACAGTGTTGCAGTAGTTTAACCACTAGCCTACTGGGCACTTATACCCCCTTCCTGCCCAGGCCAATTTCCAGCTTTCAGCGATGTCGCACTTTGAATGACAATTGTGCCGTCATGCAACACTGTACCCATATGAAATTTTTATCATTTTTTTGTGACAGATAGAGCTTTCTTTTGGTGGTATTTAATCACTTTGGGGTTTTTTATTGTTTCTTAAACAAACCAAAAACCACTGAAAATGTTGAAAAAAAATGGTTTTTTTCTTAGTTTTTGTTATAAAATTTTGTAAATAAGTGATTTTTCTCCTTCACTGATGTGCGCTAACGAGGCTGCACTGATGGACACTGATAGGTGGCACTGATGGGCATTGACAGGCATCACTGATGGGTACTGAAAGGCAGCACCGATACATGGCACTGATAGGCGACACTGACTGGCAGCACTGATAGGTGGCACTGATGGATGACACTGAAAGGCAGCTCAAATGGGCACTGATATGTGGCATTGATGTGCACTGGTATGCACTGATATGTGGCATTGATGTGGCACTGATAGGCACTGATGGACTTTGACAGGTGACACTGCTGGGGCTACACTGATCATCAGGGCACACTGATCATCAGTGCCCTGATGATCAGTGTACATGTCCCCCCCTCCGCAGAAAGCCGATTACGGCTCTCCTCTCCTCTCGAGCTGTCAGCGTGACAGCTCGAGAGGAGAGAAAGGCCGATAACCGGCAATTCCGTGTTTACATGTGATCAGCGGTGATTGGACACAGCTGATCTCATGACCGAGCTGACATCTTCGGCTCTTTCCATGATCGGTGATCCACTGTGTCCGAGGGACACAGTGCACCGCCGATCGCCGTGCTGCGCGCTCCCTGAGCAACGCATGCGTGGTGAGAATGGGAGGACGTCATATATGACTTCCTCTCAGAACGAGAGAACCACCTTGTGCCCGTCATTGGACTATATGGCGGGCAGGAGGTGGTTAACTGACAATTGCACAAATTTATATCCTTTTTTCACACAAATAGAGCTTTCTTTTGGTGGTATTTGATCACCTGTGTGCTTTTTATTTTTGGAGCTATAAAAACAAGAAACTTTTGAGAATTTTTTTTTTTTTTTTAAACTATATTTTCTCAATTCTGTCATAAAAAATATCCCAAAAAACTAAAGTTTTATCAGAAATTTAGGCCAAAATGTATTCTGCTACATATTTTTGGTTAAAAAAATCCCAATAAGTGTATATTGATTGCTTGTGTGAAAGTTATAGTATCTACAAACTACAGATTATGGAATTTACACAGCTTTTACTTTCTCACTGGCCATCACATTTCTTGAGGTCCTAAAATACCAGGATAGAACACCCCCAAATGACCCCTTTATGGAAAGCAGACACCCTAAGCTATCTGTTGAGAGGCATATTGATTCCATGGAAGATTTATTTTATTTCCCTCACAAGTTTCTGGAAAATGACTAAAACTTTTGTTTTTTTTTTTTTACACAAAATTGTCAATTAAATGATATTTCTCACACAAGCCATGGGTATATATGGAATTACACCCCAAAATACATTCTGCTACTTCTAACGAGTATGGGGATACCACGTGTGTGAGACTTTTTAGGAGCCTAGCCACATACAGGAGCCTGAAATCTAATGACCACTTTGAAAGCCTGAAGGTGCGTAACTTCCTCACTACCTATCACAGTTCTGAAGGCCCTGAAATGCCAGGATAGCCCCCCCCCCCAATTGACCCCTTTTTGGAAAGTAGACACCCCAAGGAATTTAAAAAGAGACATGGTGAGTATTGTGCAGATCTCATTTTTTCCTCACAAGGTTTTGAAATGTCAAAAAAAAAAAAAAAGAAAAAATGTTTTTGTTTTTTTCTTCATTTTCCAAAAACTTGTGGCAACAAACGAGATCTGCAAAATACTCACCATGCTTCTTATCAAATTCCTTGGGGTGTCTACTTTCTAAAAAGTGGTCATTTGGGGGGGGGGGGGGGGTGTTGGTGCTATCCTGGCATTTCAGGGCCTCTGAAACTGTGATAGGTAGTCAGGAAGTGTAATGAGGAAAAAGCCCTTTATAAGCTTGAGGGTGCTTATTGGATTTTGGGGTCCTACTTGGCTAGACTGCCAAAACGCCTCTCACAGAGTGGATTTTTGGAAGTTCAAGAGCCAATCCGACTCATGCAATTTTGGCTTGGCACCGATACATCAACAACATCTTTGTTTTATGGGAAAAAAAAAAAAAAAAAAACTCTTAAAAAAAGGTTTGACATCTATGAATGACAATAAATTTAAAATCTTAAATTCCCTATGGCTTACACGTTTCTGGATGTCTGCATCCAGTAGATTACTGGTGGTCATTTGCTCAGTGAACTTTTCAGGTAACCTACTGCAGGCAATTCTATTCTCTATACTACCAGCTGTCACTCAAAACAACGGATAGCATCCATTCCCTACAACCAATACCTTAGGGCAAGACATAATTGTTCGGACGATGCATTGTTTCAAAAAGAGGCTAATACTTTTAGAACTTAGCTTTTAAAACATGCTGATACCAACATCTTTCTTAAGAAGGCTTCTAGGCGGGTCCACAATATATCACAACACAATCACGTAATGAAAACATCAGAATCATCACACAAAATATTCAACCCAACACAAACAGGTGAAACACATCTTGAAAAACTATTGGCACCTATTGACCATGGATCTAACTGTGGGTCTGCACTACCGGCTGTCACATTCAGAAGGGTTCCCTCTGTGGGTGACCGACTGGTACATTAGTGAATTTCTGGGATCAAATAGAGATGACCCATGTAAAACATATGGAAAGTTTCAGTGTAGAGCATTCCCATATTGTCAATATATGGGCCTGCGTTCCCACATAAGACTACCTAATGGATCCTTTTTCCACCCTAGACACTATGACAATTGCAAAACCACAGGGATTATATATATCTCCTTACCTGTAAATGTGGCTGTTTCTATGTCAGAAAACACCAAGATTGGAGCTTTGGAGGCTTACGTACCGACACTTGCAAAGTATACACAAAAAAACCCTGAATTACCCCCTAGGCTACCACGTGGCCCTGGTGCATAGTGACCACACTCCTCGAGTGCAATTTTTGGCACACAACAGAATCCACCGAAAACCGAGGGGAAGGGATTTCAACAAATCTCTCCGGCAATGGGAATGAAGATGGATTTATTCCCTAAATGCCAGGGAACCACCAGGCCTCAACGAGGCATTCATTTTTATACCTTTCCTAGAAGGTTTCAATTCAGGGGGAAGCAAACTGGATATGTGATTGGGACTTTTCTCATTTGCAGGTTCTGCCTAGCGGTTTCCTTCTGTGCTACTCTTTAGATAATCCCCTCTCCCTCTGCTTGTACTCCAATGGGTGTGGGCATGTTGCAGTGATCTGACCTTCCTTTCTTGTGGGGTTCCCAGGATGTCTACAGACCCTGCTGTATAACTGGGTGGAAGATGTGCATATACACTTAAATAGAGAGAGGTGGAAGCTCATTCTGATTGTCTAAGAGAAATAACTGTATTCTGGATTTGCAAACTTTTGCTCCATACTATTCATGGGCGGACTGACCATTTGGAAACTCGGGCACTGCCCAAGGGCCCGGGGTCAGTAGGGGGCCCCATGAGATGCCCCTAGTACCTTTTTCATAGGATTTTTTTTGAGTATGGGCAAGGACACAGGGGCCCCATGATCCCCTATTGCCCAGGGGCCCCATGATTTGTCAGTCCGCCCCTGATACTATTCCATGCAAATGTATATGCTCCACATTTACATACAGTGCCTTGAAAATGTATTTATACCCCTTGAAATTTCCCACATTTTGTCATGTTACAACCAAAAATGTAAATATATTTTATTGGGATTTTATGTGATAAACTAACACAAAATAGCACATAATTGTGCAGTGGAAAGAAAATGACAAATGGATTTCAAAATGGTTTATAAATATCTGGAAAATGTGGTGTGCATTTGTATTCAGCCTTCTCAGTCAATACTTTGTAGAAACACCTTATGCTGCAATTACAGCTGCAAATCTTTTTGGGTATGTCTCTATCAGGTTTGCACATCTAGGGAGGAGTGAAATTTTTGCCCATTCTTCTTTGCAAAATAGCTCAAGGTCTGTATGATTGGATGGAGAGCGTCTGTGAACAGCAATTTTCAAGTCTTGCCACAGATTCTCAATTGGATTTAGGTCTGGACTTTGACTCGGCCATTCTTAACACATGAATATGCTTTGATCTAAACCATTCCAGTCCTGTTTGAAGGTGAACCCCTGCCCCTCAAGTCTTTTGCAGACTCAAACAGGTTTTTTTTCTAAGATAGCCCTGGCTCCATCCATCTTCCCATCAACTGTGACCAGTTTTTTTTTGCCCCTGCTGAAGAGAATTATCCCCACAACACGATGCTGCCACCGCCGTGTTTCACAGTGGGGATGGTGTGTTCAGAGTGATGTTCAGTGTTAGTTTTCCGCCACAGATAGTGTTTTTCTTTTACTTTAAAAAGTTAAATTTTGGTCTCATCTGACCAAAGCACCTTCCTCCACATGTTTGTTGTGTTCCCCACATGGCTTCTCGCAAACTGCAAACGTGACTTCCTATGGCTGTCTTTCAACAATGGCTTTCTTCTTGTCACTCTTCTATAAAGGCCAGATTTGTGGAGTGCACAACTAATCATTATCCTGTGGGCAGATTCGCCCACCTGAACTGTGGATCTCTGCAGCTCCTCCAGAGTTACCATGGGCCTCTTGGCTGCTTCTTTGATTAATGCTCTCCTTGCCTGGCCTGTCAGTTTAGGTGGGAGGCCATGTCTTGGTAGGTTTACAGTTGTGCCATACTCTTTCATTTTTTTGATGATGGATTTCACAGTGCTCCGTGAGATATTCAAAGCTTGAGATTTTTTTATTTATAACCTAACTCCGCTTTAAACTTATCCACAACTTTATCCCTGACCTGTCTGGTGTGTTCCTTGGCCTTCATGATGCTGTTTGTTCACTAATGTTCTCTAACAAACCTCTGAGGGCTTCACAGAAGAGCTGTATTTATACTGCGTTTACTGTAAATTACACACAGGTGGACTTCACTAATTAGGTGACTTCTGAAGGCAATTGGTTCCATTAAATTTTAGTTAGGGATATCACAGTAAATACTTTGAAAATAATTTATCATTTTCCTTCCAATTCACAATTATGTACCACTTTGTGTTGGTCTCAATAAAATACATTTACATTTTTGGTTGTCCAGTGCTGAGTTCACGGGATCCTTGTGGTGATGTGGATGGCCTGGAGGCCATTTTTGGGTCTACTATATATACACAAAGGATGCAACTGCATTTCAAACAATATTTTAAGGAAAGCTTATACATGTTACTATCTGCCCTCACTAATTACAGTATGTAAAAACTGTCTTTCCAAATAGATTCAGTATTATACGGATGCTTTATCAGTTATATTGTAGTACCGATATACCAAACTCCCGCCTGAAGAAGGAATGATTTTCCAAAACATGTCAGGATTTACTGCAAGACTACACCTCAACTGACCAAACTACATTCCATTTTGGCAGTTTTCATTGCGGTGTCTTTCTATCTTAGGGTATAGGCACTCTGTATTGTTATTGAATTGTATGCAATACTATTTAGTGATTCACGCTGTTCATATGATTTTATGGACTTATGTTATTTGTTGTTTGTACCCACCATACAGCCCAGAAACAATAGTGAGCATTTTGTTTTTTGGGTTTTTTTTTGTAACCTAAACACACACCGACACTAACTGTCCATTCAGCGAGAAAAAAAAAAACAAGGGGGGCGGACTTCACAGTGACTGATCACTGTGACAGCCAATCAGAGGCTATCACAGCGATCATGTGACCCAAAATCTGGAGTCCTGGGTCCCGATTGTTAGGACCCTGGGCTCTCATTGACACCCTGGTCTTGGTGCTGGGAGTGCGCTGTGCGGCGTGCTCACAGCACAAAGAGAAGTACGCAAATATGCGGCCCCACGGAAAAAAGTCCAGTTCTGTCAGGCCGCATATTTGTGTGACGTCAGAATGGGGAAGGAGCCCCATCACAAACACGGTTCTTATTCTGTTTGCAAGAAGATTTTTCGTTCCCCCAGATCTGCGGACAAGGACACTAAACCTTTTAAGGCTCCCACAGGGGTTACCCAAATGGCCCCGGTCTAGCAAACTTACCAAGCCAACAAATAAGTCCTCCTTAGTATTGAAGGTATGCTCCAACCCAGTTTTACTCCAACCTGTTTACGATCTTGAAGAAGGAGGGAAAGATTTGGCTGATCCTGGATCTCAAGGCCCTGAACTGCTTCGTGTGTGTGTGCAGAAGTTCAAGATGGAATACATTCGGTCTGTAGTGGCCTCCTTACATCAGGGGTATTTGCTGGCCTTTACAGACATCAAGGATACCTGCCTGCACATCCCCATATGTTCCCAGCACTGACGCTTTCTACGCTTTGCAAACAGAGAGGCGCATTACCAGTTTGTGGCTCTGGCCTTTTGGTCTCGCCTCCTCTCCTCAAATTTTCACCAAAGTGCTGGCTCCATTTCTGACGTTGCTGTATCAGGGGATACCTATGTGGATTGCCTATGTAAATGGTTATATATCTATGCTGCGCCAACCCCTTTTTTAACATACATTAATGAACCAAACTTAAAACATACACATACTCTCACCGGCCACTTCATTAGGTACACCTGTTCAATTGCTTGGTAACATCCAATCACATGGCAGCAACTCAATGCATTTAGGCATCTAGACGTGGTGAAGACGACTTGATAAAGTTCAAACCGAGCATCAGAATGGGAAAGAAGGGAGATTTAAGTGACTTTGAATGTGGCCTGCTTCTTGGTGCCAGATGGGCTTTTTTACTGGGATTTTTACGCACAACTATCTCTAAAGTTTACAGAGAATGATCCGAATAAAGAGAAAATATCCAGTCAGCGGCAGTTGTGTGGACGAAAAATGCCTTGTTGATGTCAGAGGGCATTCAATTTCAGCTGCGAAATTCAGATGGTAGGGTCAAAATTTGGCATAAAACAACATGAAAGCATGGATCCATCCTGCCTTGAATCAATGGTTCAGGCTGGTGGGGGTGTAATGGTGTGGGGGATATTTTCTTGGTGCTAGCAACGTGTACCTAATAAAGTGACCGGTGTTAGTATGTCAGACAATGTTCAATATTCACTAATTTACACAAATATAAATAGTGTTATGCTAAATACAAAACTCTTATAATCCAAATAAAAGTTCCAGTATCCTCTTATGTACACCATATGTGCAGCTTCTATCTTCAGCTTAAGCACATTCAAGTTCAGTGAGTCCCATCACCTCTGTGCCAATGCGCTCACCTTCAGCTTTGGACCTGTACAAACCAGTTCAATAGTTTCTTCCCCCACTGGTGGTCTCTCAAAAGGTATATTCTATGGCTTTCAAGGTGTTCCTCTAACTTCCATATACACAGCAGAATAGACGTACATCACCTTTATTTTTACAGATCTATACTTATTTTTCTCAAATCAAACTCATAAACATATGGGAGGCCACATAAGGTAGTATCTACACTACACGTGACTTCCTCAGGGGATTGCGGTTACTGGTAATTTAGACAAACTGCTTCTGAGGGCAAAGCCTTCCTTGGCACTAAGGGACGACATAGTGATCACAATCCACACCTTGCAAGAGTTGGTAAAACTAGAAAACAAACAAATACAAAATAATTCCCCCTGGAACTTTAGAGGAAGAAAAAAAAAATGTATAGAGAGTAAAATTGGCTTAAAAGATAAATGTCAATCTTTATTTGTAAACATAGCTTGTTTGTAAAGCTATGTACACATATATGGTATCGTTGTGATCAAGATGGAAAATTTACTGACTTTTTGGCAATGGTAGCATAGATTTAAAAAGTAACATATCTGCATTGTCTATATTCCACAGTGCTATTACCATGGTTCATATGTATCCAGGGACGGACTGACAATTTGGAAACTCGGGCACTGTTCGAGGGCCCGGGGTAAGTAGGGGGCCCCATGAGATGCCCCTGGTACCTTTTTCATAGGCTTTTTTGAATTTGGGCAAGGACACAGGGGCCCCATGATCCCCTATTGCCCAGGGGGCCCCATGAGTTGTCAGTCCGCACCTGTATGTATCCCTTATCTGAATTTCTTACCTGTCATTGTCCAGCTCATTGGATCTTGCAACTGGAATTTGGGGAACAAAAAAAAAAAAAAAAAAAAAGTTTCAGTAAAACATACTTCGTTCTATAACAAATGAATAGTGGCAAAACAATTACAATTAGGGTAGAGCTTGCCCAAATGATTTTAGGTCACCTTTTGGGACTTAAGTAAAAAAAACTATGGTTTATTTAATGCTTTTAGTTTTAGATCAAAATTTGGAATAAGCTTATATTGATTACTGACAGTGTGGTAATTACCTCTTCCTGTTGACTGTACACATACAGTATATGTAGCCTCACAGAAGTGGATCTTTATCCGTGGGACCACATAAATGTGATTCAAAAACAGGACAGGTTCCCAATCACCCGATCACTGTGATATCCTCTGATTGGCTATCACAGTGATCAGTGTCTGTACAGTCCACTCCCGAGTCATCCTCTTGAATGGATTAAAAGATACTTTGTATCTCTCTCTCTCCTTGCTAGAGGAGAAAATGTAAACAAAGTGTGTACAGAATAAAAAAAAAAAAAAGTAGAACAGGGTTTGATGTAGGTCAGTATTAAGATTAGGAGCATAGGTCATAAAAAAAAAAAAAGTAATGGAGATAGCCACTATAATTTACCACTACAATTAAGTCTTGGAAAAAAAAAAGTGAGGTATAATTCACCTAGATACACTAAGCAGTTGTGATGATATGTAGTTTACTGACACATATCAAAGTTGCAAAACTGTGTTCAGAGTTTAGGATATGTTTTAACTTTGTCATGCAACAGTCAAAGCGGAATAAAACTCCTCAAACATTTATCCAAGCAAAGGATGCCCTGCAGCATTGAACTGTGAGTGCTCAGGCGCTTTCATCTTCTCCTGGTTCTTCCTTCACTTTTTTCAGTCACTTGAATGGCCAGGCAGTGATGTCACTCCTACATCTGTGCATGGGAGTCACTTCAACATGGCACAGTGTTTTTTTTGCTCATGAGCAAATGTGCATCAAAGTTTCTGACATTCTACTGTACGTCTTCTGTTATTAAGACCATAGATAAAAAAAAATCATAAATACCACATTTTGTATCATTTTGAATATCTTTACAGAAAGCACACCAATGCTGCCATCAACCTTTTTAATTTCTTACCTCTCAGTTCAGGCCAGATTTTGTTCTTCCACTGATCCATACAGATAATGATCATCAGACCAAACGCTCCCAAAAATAAAATTCTGAGCGATGTCAAAGCAAAGAACCTGCAAAACAAGTATTTACACTGAATTTTGGTTTCCCCATATGAATGTTACAGTCATTTGAAGAGAAAGTACAGTGTACAACAAAAAAGCATGTGTTACGCGATTCCCCTTTCATGTCAATTGGGATACAACAGCTGCACAGGCATAGCTGCTGTTCCCAATCTGACATTCGTGTGGGTGTGAAACATGTGTTTGTGGAACACGGAAAGTGTGAGTTCAGGGACATGCACCCAGACCAACATGAATGTCAAATTGGGAGCAAGGACTGTGTTCGTGTAGTTGCTGCATCCCAAATGACATGGGACTGCCTGCAGAGGGATGCACAGAACACCTGTGGGAAATTGATACTGGGAGGGGGGGGGGTGACTGCAGGGAAAAAACAGAAAGTAGAGTGTGGGGGGCATTTAAGAGAAAAAGAGCGGCAGGAGGTGAAGTGGCTGGAGGACAGAGAAACAGCGGCATTGGTGTGCGGTAGGGTTATGTGTCACATTTGAGGTGAATAGCTCTGATTAGTCACTAATCGGTTGTTTGTTCAGCAGTTTCTGCTGAACAGTTTATAGCAGAAGCAGGAATGCAGGTCAGTACAGCCAGCTGGAAGCAGTGCTGTAGGTCCATACACCATACAGACCTTACAGCAAAAGGGGTAAAGTATATGTACACCCTCACCTTGTATAACAACCCATGCAGTTTAAAATATTAATGAAGGGCAACACATTACAAATACCCTTTTCCTCCTTTTTATAAGAACTGTACCACTGCTATGTCTCATACAAGTAACAAAAACCCCTAATTTAGAGCATGCCAACTCACTGTGTGCCTCAACCACCCACATCCGCCATTACAGTATACCAGACATACCTTGATAAATCACTACACCAATAAAGTTACTGTAGAAAGTTGCAGGGATACTAATGCTAGGGGGGCTAATCCCAGCATCTGCTGTAAGGGTTGAACACATTGTATCAGAATTTGCCTTTTAAGCAGTGTTAACCTGCCTTCGCCAATCCTAAAATATAGGCGGGAGACGGAAATACATTTTGAAAGCGAGCACCGCACACCACTGGCAAGGCCACAGCTAAAAGTGGCAGCTGGAGAGTGGGTACAGAGGCACTGGAGGGTCCCCATACACCTGGAGAGGGAGACGCAGCACTGGGCATCAGGACAGCCTAAGAAAAGGCCATACAAGCAGGGCGATCACCAAAGAGACGCATGGTCCCCCTCTGGGCAAATGCAAAGGCTTCCAACATGGTGCCAGGTAAGAGAGACTCATGTGGTGGCCAGCAACAGTCACACTCTCCCCGGATCAGGGGCCGCAACAGGGAGAAATCCTTTCTCCTCCCAATCCTTGAAAGACAAGAAAGCCGAGTCCCAGGGTAAGTCCTTCTCCGTACCTCCCTCTCCTGAGATCCCACAGGACCAGGTAGCCTCCCTAGCATCCTCAATGGAGAGGAACATGGTAGAACTGGCCGAAATTGCTTTCAACCAACCCAGTCCTGCGCACGATTCACCTGTCCCGCAGCCAGTTCCTTACTCAGAAGATGCAGTGCTTATTGCACGCTTTTCCACATTACTACAGCAAGAAATCTCAAAAGCATGCTCCATCATTACTACTGATCTTAAACGGGACATACAGAGCATTGGCGAATGCCTAGATACTATTGAATCTAAAGTGGACGGCGATGTTGCTAGAGTGAGTCAGAACACTGGTGTGATTACAGAGCTGCAGAATAAATTGGAGGAGACTTACGCTAAAAAAGTGCCCCACAAGTACTACTGATACCCAGATAACAAGTGGAACATGCCGTTTGTTTTGACCAGACAGAAAAAAAGAAAAAAACAATTGCCGTTAAGACAACTGTCTGCTTTGCGTACTCTATAAAGAGCTATGTTGTAATGATTTTGTAACGCTTTTACACCAATTATTGTGAAAAACTTTCAATAAAAATATTGAAAACGAAAAAGTACTGAGGTACAAAAAAGAAAACTTCGAAATATTCATAAGCTGTTAGGCAGCAGCCGAGAATGTAAAAACATCCAAACAGTAAAATTTCATAATAATAAGCAGGAGGAGAAAGCCATTTCAACATAATTTATCAGCCAGGAATAATAAGCTGGAGATAGAGGTCCAGACTTGAGACATATATGCTTCTTCATCCAAGAATCCCAATGTACATGTAAATGGGTCATTGTGCAAGATTCTGGAATGCCTGGTTAATAGTGGAAGAAACACTGCACCAATAGCGTACCAGTTTGGGATATCTCCAAAGCATGTCCAGAAGATCAGCAGGGGATATTCCATATCTGCGACAATCCAGGTTCTCTCTACAGAGCCAACAATATAACTTATGAGGCATTCTGTACACCCTAGGTATAATGTAAATTTGGGATAGACGTTGCGTTTGCAAGATGAACACTAGTAGGACTTGTACAAAAATAGCTTGCCATATCTCCCCATCTGAAGCAGCAATATCCTTAACCCACGCTTTCCTGCCAGGGAGCTGTAGATTACCTAGCAAACTATCCAGCAATGATTTATAAAAAAAGTAAAGAAACAAGGCCTCTCTTGTCTGTAGTAGTAGCTAACTGATCTATAAGCAGGGTGTCACTCCATTTAAGCGCAGTCTGTTTATTTTGGGCTGAAAAAGCGTGACTGAGTTGGAGGTACTGGAAAAGCCTGCAAGAGGGGATACCAAATTTCCACTGTATATCTTGAAAACATTTCAATTGGTCAATTGCATATAATTGATGAAGGGGTACTGTATCTCCCTGGAATACCAGCTATCAAAACCCTGCAGTGTATTGGGCGTGGTGACCACTCACCAAAGATGGCTGCATGAAGCTGTAGCTCCATGAGCGCTCCAGAAGCCTGCATCCACAGGAGCCCATCATAGCCCACGCCATCCTCTCAGCATCCCCTTACCCTTCTGACACTACAGCGATGACCCGAAGTCAGAAGGACTCACCTTCCCTTCAGAAATGGTCAGATTTCTTTCCAACACGGATGAGAAATCACCAACAAAATGGCGTCCAGAGTCCATCTCTGACACCCACTGCCGGAACTCTAGTGGCCGCTTCCCAATTAAGCCCAGCATCCCCAATGGACCTAATGGAACACATGGAGGATGAGAGCTGCTCTCCAGTGTCCATCCCAAGTACTAGGAGCCCAGCAAAGTCTAGGAGGGAATCCAATCCTGACCAATTGTCAAAACCATGCTCACAGGAGGAAAAGTCAGATCCAGATGCCTGCCGCCCTGATCCATTTACCTCTGTCCCCACTACAGGCCAGCCAGTTTCTGATACTGTTTTGAAAGATATGCTACTATGACTAAATCCATCTCTTCAGTATGATATGCTAGCGTGCTTTCACAAGTACACAGCAGAGGTCCAAGATCTGGGAGATGGGGTCAGCCATCCGAAAGATAATTTGAGTGCATGTGTATCTTCCTACAACGGCATGGCGGACACTCATGACAAACATGAGGATGACATCGCCTGGCTGAAACCCAAAGTAGCTGACCTAGAGGACTGCTCCAGGATTAACAACTTAAAAATCAGAGGCATTCTAGAGTTGGTACAATAAGCACAATTACCTCACTATGTACACAATCTTTTCAAAGCAGTTGTTCAATCACCAACGGCTGAGGATCTCACCATTGATAGAATCCATAGGGTTCCCAAACCATCCTTTTTACCAAAATAAATTCCTAGCGATGTCCTAATGCGGATACACGACAGCCAAGGCAAGGAACTTATCTTATCTGCATTCTGTAAGAAGGACCAAGTGCCAAAAAAGCTGTTCCACTCCAGGTATTGCCAGATCTCTCCGTACATACTCTACAACAACGTAAGATCCTGGCATCTGTCACTAAAGCTCTCCGTAATCATACCATATGGAAGTACCCAGCCACACTGAAAATCATCCATGATAGTTCAACTATCTTCATCAACTCCATGGAAGAAAGCATCTGCCTACTCAAATCGTGGAACATAATCCCAGAGAATCCTCGCCCCGGGATCCCAGGCATCCACTTTCCAACTCCCAACAGGAATGGACTAACGTCTCCTACAAGAATTCTTCAAAACAACAATCTATGATGGGCCACAACACCTTAAGTTATCTATATCATTTGAATGGTTTTCTCCTGGAGGTGCTGTCTCCTGTTTCTAAGTTTTATACTTTTCTAAGTACCCCAGCAATTCTGCTGCTACTGATTCTGCATGGAAGCTCTTTTTTAAGTTTTCTGTGTTTTTTCTTATAGGGGAGGGCTCAGTTTTCACTGTTAGTTGTCATACTTTTATTTCACTATATTTGGTTGACACAAGGTATCTCGTGTGCTACCCTTCCCAGACTGCAATCCTCACGGTCTTCTCCTTTTGGAGCACATCTGAATAGCTATTTACTTTCATCTTAACTGTCCACTGACTTCTATGGTATGTGTCAAATTTAAAACTGCTACTAATTTTCAGTTGGAATGACGCTTAAACTTCTCTCAATCGATAACCGAGGCCTAAACCATTCCAGCCAAGAGATTTTCATTATGGAAAAAAGCTACTAAATCCAAAGCAGTCATTGTTTTAGCTGAAGAAACTCACTTTCAAACGTCAGCAGCCCCAACATGCCAACTTAAGGACTTCCCACGTGTCTTTTTTGATAAGTTCTCCTCAAAAAATATGAGGGGTTCTCAACTCGGTAACTTTTACCTTACAGTCTTCTGTCATTAATGAAGGGGTGTAGTAAATAATATTGGTATGCAATATCATTGGTAATACTGTAGATAAAGTTGTACTCTAAAGTTTGCATACCCTGACAGAAATTGTGAAATTTTGGCATTAATATTGAAAATATGACTGATCATGCCAAAAAATGCTCTTTCATTGAAGGATGATGATCATATGAAGCCATTTATTTTCAAATAGTTATTTGGCTCCTTTTTAAAATCATAATGATAACAGAATTCACCCAAATGGCCATGATCAAAAGTTTATATACCCTGGAATGT